CATAACATTTTGTGTATATTTCCCTGTGCTATACAGTGTTCATCAGGATCATCATTTTCTTTGCTCTTGAGGAGTCCTTGTTAGCAACGCTGTCCGGATTAAGGGAGTTGGTTGGGATCACGGGCTTTACGTGGCCCAAGGACCAACCATCAGCCTCTGCGCGGAAACCGTGTGCGGGGCGCGCCCCCTGGCGGCCTCGGGGCGCAAAAGTGCCCGATGAGCCAGGCGGGGTGAGCTAGGGGACATCAGGCGGTGCTAGGGCTGTGTGAGCCGCGGGCCTTCCCTGGGCCTGGTGACGCTAGCAGTCCAGACATGGGGTGACCAGGACCCAGAGTAACACAGCAGTCCCATAACTGCGGCATTCTGACTCTTCTGAACTGTGACGTTCCTGAATCAATCTCTTTGCCCATAAAGTGGGAATAATCCACCTGCCTGTCAGGAAAATGGGAGGATGTAGTCAAAGCACAGAATTCAGATTTTCCAAAGGACACAGAGGTGTCCTCTCCTGGCCTCAGCATTCTTGTTTTCTTATCTGTGACAAACACTTGAAAAATGGCAACTGGAGAAACAGGAATTCAGTGTCAGTGACACTCAACTGTCCAGGTAGCAGTCTGCATCAAGGAGGTCTGCTTGAAGGATGCACATTTGTTTATTTATTAATTTTTGTTCATTATTTCATTATGGCTCATTTATTCAACAAATATGTATTGGATACTGAGGTAAGTAGAATAATGGCCCCCAAAAGATGTCCACACCCTAATCCCTGGAACTTATGAATATGTAAGTTTACATGGGAAAAGAACATTAAGGTTACAGATGGAATGAAGGTTGCTGATCAGCTGACTTTAAGACAGGAGGATAATCCTGGATTACCAGGTGGACCCAATGTGATCACAGGGGTCCTTAAAAGTGGAAGGTGCAGGCTGAAGAGTCAGAGAGGGAGGCCATCATTCTGGCTTTGAAGATGGCAGAAGGGGCCTCTAGAAGCTGGAAAAAACAGACCAGGAAATAGATCCTCCTCGGAGTTGCCAGCAAGGGATGCAGTCCTGCTGATACTTTGATTTTAGCCCCATGAGGCTTGTGTCAGACTTCTGACCTACGGAACTGTAAGACAGTACATCTGCACGGTTGTTTGTCACAGCAGCAGTAGGAAACTAACACAGACACCGAATTTCAGGGGCAGTGGCAGATGCTGGGGACTCCGGGGAATTCAGAGCCATAACCAGGCAGGAGGTGAGGAGAGGCGGTGCTGGGCAGCTCTGTGCCCTGGGACAAGGGTTGGGAAAGGCTTCTCCAAGGAATGATACTTAACCTTATATCGAAGTTTCTGTCTAATGAAGTGAGAGTGGAAAGGTGTTTCAGGCAAGGAAACAGCATGTGGGAAGGCCTAGAGGCAAGACAGTGCACTGAACACCAGAGGTTCCATGAGCCCTGGCAGAGTGAAGAGAGATCAGCTGAAGGCAAGGAACGCAGGTCAACCAGTCCAGTCAAGAGTCTGCCTACCATCTGAGGACAGCAGGGGCAGAGTTTAGGAAGGCCCAAAATGTGAGCAGATCTGCCTTTTGGCTGCAGAGTGGAGAATGGATCCCTAGGTGCCTCTGGCTGAGGCCCACGTGAGAGCTGCTGGTAGCCTAGGCCAGGCTGGTGTCCACAGAGATGGAGGTGGAGAGAGATTTTAGAGGTAAAGTCTATGGAACTTGGTGATTGATCAGATGGGGAGAGGGGGAGTTTGAGATACCCCCTCCCAGTCTTGGCTTGGACAAATCAGGGCATGATACTGCCATTTACCGAGATGGGAATGTTGGTCGAGGGGCAGGCTTGAGAGAGGCTTCAGTCAGGGTGCCTGCAGTATATTCAAGACCAGATGACTACTGAGGCAGCTGGATATGCATCAGGGGTTGGATGAAGGTCTCTTGGTGGGGATTCGGGGTAGATTCTGAGTCCTTGAAGAGAGAAAAGGAGGAGGCTGACTGCTGGTGATCAGGCCAGACCACGGTTCTAGTGGATATTTTTTTATTGCAAATGATAAAATCCCCAAATGATGTAAGCCCCCAGGGAATTTACTGTTTCTCCTAAATGAAGCCCAGCTATCCTAACTTCAAGCATGGCCACTCAGGGTCCCAAGGAGATCCTCCAGTTTCTGCCTCCCCTCTTTTTCTCTCTGCTTCCCCTGTGTGTGGGCCTTCCCTCTCCCACTGCAGAGGGGCTCTCCCCACCAGCCTGGGCAGGATAGCAGCTGGCAGCTCAGCTTACATCATCCCAGCCCAGCCATGCTAATGGAAGAGAAAACTTTCTTCCAGTGTCCACATGAAACCCCACCAAAAGGACTCAGAATCGCTTTTTGGATGGTACATGAGTACGTTCCAACCACTGTTGCTGGGGGAGATTGTGTAATGTGAATGACAGTTTCCCCAAAACCACATAGAATTGGTGAGGGGTGGTCCCCAGGGCAAGTTAGCTTGGCAGAAAACAAAGGTAGATACTGTTGTTTGCCAGTAAGATATTAGAGGATGTCTTCCGGGGGCTTTTGGAAGAGCTCCTTCCTTCCAAATGGACAGGATGTCTGGAAGAGCAGCAACCACCTTGTGGCCGAGAAGAATAGTGTCCTGAGGATGGCAAAGCAGAAAGGTGGGGGAGCCTGCGTCCATGATGGCATCATGCAGTCATTGAATTCACCAGCTTTGGAGCCTCCCTCCCACCAGACTACTTAACTGTAATAAATGACTTTCTATGTTGAGCCATTTTGACTTGGGTTACCAGTTATTTGCAGCAGTGAGGTCTGTGCACACGCCAGGGATGTCCACGTCCTAATCTCCAGAACATACAGTGCATACATTAGGTTGCAGGGCAAAGGGGAATTAAGTTTGCAGATGGAATTAAGATTGCTGATCAGCTGACCTTAAGACAAGGAGACTCTCTTGGATTATCCAAGAGGCCCAATGTGACCACAAGAGTTTTTATAAGTGAAAGGGGAAGCAGGAGAGTCAGAGGAGGATATGGGGCCAATGGAAGCAGAGGTCAGAATGATGTGACTGCTGGTTTTGATGATGGCTGTCCGTTCAGTTCCATGCAATTGTGGAGGAAATGATGAAGTGACAACTCACGTGTACTGCACCTGCAGGTGACATTTAATCCTGGCTCTTCACCCCTCTCTTGCTCCATTGTCTACAGTGATTTGAGGTGGGTGTCCTGGAAAGCTGTAGAGGGGGTGATGGAGGTGGGTTTGGAAGGATAACAGATGCTCCCATGCCCAGTGGGCTTCTTTTCTAGCTGCACATTCGAATCCCCAAAAGAACTTTAACAGTACCTAGAAGTCTGGGGACACTTTTGGAGATGTGGCCAGGATTTAGGCATTTTCCACCCTCTTCACCCAGGTGATTCTGGTTTGTGGCTCGAATTCAGGTGCAGGGAGCTGGATAGGAAAGAAGGTATCCAGAAAGCATCCCGTGTAGAGGCTGCTTACCCACCCACCGCAGCCCACCCGGCCTCAGGAGACCCTGTGCCCTTGGCTACAGCTCAGCCCGGGATCGTGCAGCGCCTTCCACATGAGCAGCATCTCGTAGGGCGCGAAGCGGTGCACAAGCAGCAGATTGCGGTACACGCAGGGGTCGAAGGAGGGCTGCCGGGCGCCAGGCATGTGCACGCCGAAAGGCCGGATGCCCTCGTGACCGCTGGGAGCCAAGCCGGCGCGCTCCAGACACATGCCCATGTAGGCGTCGTCGATGGGGAAAAGCGGGGTGTGGCGGGCGGCCCGGTGCAGGGCCTGGATTGTGTAGTGGGACAGGAGGAAGCCGCCACCGCTGCAGTACACCGGGTAGGCCGGCCCCGAGAAGAGCTGCGGGGGCACGAAGTACTTGCTCCAGCTGTCGCGGATGGGAACAGAGCCGCTCATGAGCTGCCCGACGAAGAGGTGGCTGTCGGGCGGCTGCGCCTCCAGGAAACTGACCACGTTGGCGGTGTGCACGAAGACGTCGTCGTCGCCGCTGAGCAGGAAGCGCGCATGCGGGCAGCGCACCGCCAGCCAGTTGAGCAGGTGCACGTGCTTGAGCGTGAGGTTGAGGAAGGTGTCGGCGAAGGCCCACTGCAGCACGTCGCTGTGCTCGCGCGCCTCCAGCGCC